TCTCCCCATCCCCAGGAGTGAGCGCGAAGCTCTCCCGGCACGGCCTCTCCTCATTCCCTGGGATAATTCCAGGATAACTCCAGGATAAATCCAAGATAACTCCAGGATCATTCCAGGATAATTCCAGGATAATTCCAGGATCATTTTATGCTAATTTTATGCTAATTTTGCTCATTTTTCTCTCCCCATCCCCAGGAGTGAGCGCGAAGCTCTCCCGGCACGGCCTCTCCTCATTCCCTGAGAATTCCAGGATAATCCCAGGATAATTTTGTGCTAATTCCAGGATAGTTCCAGGATAATTCCAGGATAATTCCAGGATCATTTCAGAATCATTCCAGGATAATTTGTGCTAATTTTGTGCTCATTTTTCTCTGCATCCCCAGGAGTGAGCGCGAAGCTCTCCCGGCACGGCCTCTCCTCATTCCCTGGGATAACTCCAGGATAACTCCAGGATAACTCCAGGATAATTCCAGGATAATTCCAGGATCATTTCAGAATCATTCCAGGATAATTTGTGCTAATTTTGTGCTCATTTTTCTCTGCATCCCCAGGAGTGAGCGCGAAGCTCTCCCGGCACGGCCTCTCCTCATTCCCTGGGATAACTCCAGGATAACTCCAGGATAACTCCAGGATAATTTTGTGCTAATTCCAGGATAATTCCACGATAATTCCAGGATAATTTCAGTATCATTCCAGGATAATTTGTGCTAATTTTGTGCTCATTTTTCTCTGCATCCCCAGGAGTGAGCGCGAAGCTCTCCCGGCACGGCCTCTCCTCATTCCCTGGGATAACTCCAGGATAATTCCAAGATAACTCCAGGATCATTCCAGGATAATTCTAGGATAATTCCAGGATCATTTTATGCTAATTTTATGCTAATTTTATGCTAATTTTCCTCTCCTTTCCCAGGAGTGAGCGCGAAGCTCTCCCGGCACGGCCTCTCCGTCTCCTTCCACACGTCCTTCGAGGGCTCCTACCTGGACTGCTTCCACCTGGAGCTGCAGGGATCCCGGGAATGCCGGGATTCCCGGGAATTTCGGGTCCTGCGCCACTCCATCCCGCCCTTCATCCCCCTGCAGGGCCTGGCCCAGGAGCTGCTGCCCCACAGCCCGCGGCGCTTCCTGGCCCTGCTGGCCCGGCTGCTCGGCGCCTTCGTGGCCAGGAGGCACCAGCTGCACCTCCTGCAGGTGGGCAGCCCAAAATTCCTCTCAAAATTCCCCCCAAAATTCCCCCCAAAATTCCTCCCGAAATTCCCAAAGTTCTGCCTGAAATTCCCCCCAAAATTCCCAAAGTTCTGCCCAAAATTCCCAAAGTTCCATCCCAAAATTCCCCCCAAAATTGTAAAAGTTCTGCTCAAAATTCCCCCCAAAATTCTCAAAAAGTTCTGCCTAAAATTCCCCTCAAAATTCCCCCCAAAATTCCCAAAGTTCCTCCCAAATTTCCTCCCAAAATTCCCAAAGTTCTGACTGAAATTCCCCCCAAAAATCACAAAGTTCCGCCCAAAATTCTCAAAGTTCTGCCTAAAGTTCCTCCCAAAATTCCTTCTCAAAATCCCCAAAGTTTCTCCCTAAATTCTGCCCAAAATTCTCAAAGTTCTGCCTAAAATTCCCCCCAAAATCCCCAAAGTTCCTTCCCAAAATTCCTCCCGAACTTTCCAAATTTCTGCCCAAAATTCCCCCCAAAATTCCCAAAGTTCTGCCTAAAGTTCCTCCCAAAATTCATTCTCAAAATGCCCAAAGACCCTTCCCAGAATTCCCCCCAAAATTCTCAAAGCTCTGCTCAAAATTCCTCCCAAAATTCCCTCTCAAAATCGCCAAAGTTCCCTCCCAAAATTCACAAAGTTCTGCTCAAAATTCCCCCCAAAATTCCCAAAGTCCTTCCCAAAATTCCCAAAATTCCTACCCAAAATTCCCAATTCTTCCCCCAAATTCTTCCCAAATTCCTTCTCAAAATCCCCAAAGACCCTTCCCCAAATTCCCCCCAAAATTCCCAAAGTCCTTCCCAAAATTCCCAAAATTCCTACCCAAAATTCCCAATTCTTCCCCCAAATTCTTCCCAAATTCCTTCTCAAAATCCCCAAAGACCCTTCCCCAAATTCCCCCCAAAATTCCCAAAGTCCTTCCCAAAATTCCCAAAATTCCTACCCAAAATTCCCAATTCTTCCCCCAAATTCTTCCCAAATTCCTTCTCAAAATCCCCAAGT